TTTTTGGGGTGGGGATTTGAAGGGTTTTGAGTCATGCAGTGTTACATGTTTGTACTATATACCATTCTTATGGTGCACATCTCCTATGAACATTTTTGAAGAAGATTTCTTGAGGTTTAGACACGACTAATTACCCTCAAATTTAGTTTTTCTGAGATATCCAAGATTGAGAGACTTTATATTACCTCAACGGTATTGTCTGACTGCTTCCATGAATCTAATTTTTTTTTTTCAATAAATTTTGCGTAGCAATCCATATTTCATTCATGAAATTTCCAGAATCATTTATCAAGTCAATAGTTGGAATAATAGCGGGGGTTTTTTCTTTTCAGTGTCTGCTCGCTCAAAGGACTGGAGCAGAATCTAGTTTAATTTCCTATTTTCAAACCAACTAGACCATCTTGAATCTATTTGGTTTATGCTGCTTTGCAGCTTGATATTTCCTGTCGTCGCTAAGCACTTGGTTTTTTTTACTTAACAATATTAGTGCAGAATCCATTGACGCAAATCTACAAGAGCGACAGAACCTTTACCTCATTCCAATAGTTCGATTTTGTTGCAGTCCCTTTACTGATCAGACTAAAGTTTTTTTTTGCTCTGATCATTGTTCATTTTTTGAGAAGAAAATCTCTAGGATATACTTTCGAATCTAGCTAGGATTATAGGCCTATTTACATGTGCTGAGAGAACCAGTTTTCTCATATGTGCTCATGTTCGAGAGAATTCTACGGTGCATGTTGTGTGCACTTTTTTCCAGCAAATCTGTGCACCCATGCAAGAGGGGTTTGTCGAAAAAATCTTATGCATTAATGGATTCTTTGTCATCGAAAGCATTTCTTGGGTTTTTGGGTCTCGCTTGTTATCTTTGGTTACATGGTCTGTTCTTGAATTCTGGCAGAAAGCTCAGAAATAAATTTTTGTGGTAGACTATACGCCCAGGAAAGATTAATACAAAGTGCAGAATTGAAACTGTCAGAATATGCATTGGCATAGCAAATTCTTGCAGGAGTGCATTTTTTCATCTTTTTCTTTAGCAGTAATATTATCTTTGTTTGCTTTGTCATTCCAGTGTAAATGTGCAGTGAAGTACTATATTTGTTTTCTGAATAAACGTAACTCTAGCATAAATTCTTTTTTGATGCAGAACTTCTGGAAATCAAGCAGCATTATCAGAAATCGTTCCTTAGTATTCGCGATTACATATGTATTTGCTCTCTTTGTCAACTTGAACTTTGATTTTCTGGCTATCTTATATATAAAGCTGAATGTCTGTTTGTCTGTATGTCTGTATGTCTGTATGTCTGTATGTCTGTATGTCTGTATGTATGTACGTATGTTCCGAATAGAAAATTCCATTTCTGAACCGATCGGGACCAAACTTGGCACACATACACTTTGGGCCCCGGCGGGTGTCATAGGCTACTTTTCGTCATCGATCGATATCGATTTTATCGATTTTTATCGATTTTTTTGCTGAGTTCACCTACGGGGCTGGGAGTTGGCACAGGGGGGTAATCGAGCATGGGGATTCCGAATACAATATTGGTTTTCAGGATTATCGATTACTTTTATCGATTTTATCGATTTTTTTTGCAAAGTTTGAGCTAGGGGGCTGGGAGTTGGCACAGGGGGGTAATCGAGCATGCTGATCACCCTGCCAAATTCCAGCCCCCTAGCTCAAATTTTCAAAAAATCGATAAAATCGATAAAAGTAATGGACGATCTTGAAAACTAATATTGTATTCGTAATCTGCATGCTCGATTACCCCCCTGTGCAAACTCCCAGCCCCGCAGGTCAAACTTTACAAAAAAATCGATAAAATCGATAAAAGTAATGGACGATCCTGAAAACTAATATTGTGTTCGTAATCAGCATGCTCGATTACCCCCCTGTGCAAAATCCCAGCCTCGCATGTCAAAATTTACAAAAAATCGATAAAATCAATAAAAGTAATCGATAATTCTGAAAACTAATACTGTATTCGGAATCCCCATGCTCACTTCCCCCCCCCCCCTGTGGCAACTCCTAGCCCTGTAGGTGAACTCTGCAAAAAAATCGATAAAAATCGGTAAAATCGACATCGATCGATAGCGAAAAGTGGACTGTGACACCCGCCGGGGCCCGAAGTGTATGTGTGCCAAGTTTGGTCCGGATACGGCGGAGCCGGGTAAGCCAGCTAGTGGTAAATAAAATAGAGAAAATTAAATTTGCTGATTGAGAGATGTTTACTAAGCCATTACTGAGACTGCAGTTCTTATGATGCATAGGTTAAGAGATAACTGTGAATTCTGGCCCAACACCGTATTCAGGGTTGCCAAGTGTGTCTAAAAAGACAAAAAAGAAATCATGCTTGAACTACTGTACTTCAAAGGACATGCATGGAACGTAACCGCATATTTGCATTGGATTACAACGACGCAAAGAAAGATAATACCTGTTGTTGAGAAAAAATGAAAAAATGCACTCATGCGTGGAAAATTATGCCAATGCATACTGAACTGTCAATTCCACACGTTGTGATAATCGCTTTACTTACATAGCCTTTCAAGGTTAATTATTTTGTCCGGGAAGAGCACGGTACTGGGCTAGAGTAAGTGCAGTTTCTCAGCCACGAAAGAACCATATGAGCTGCCGTTTCTAAAATGGCTTGGTAAAGCTTCCCACTCAGTTCCCAGTAGTAAATTCTGATAGCCAGATTTGCCTGGACATTGCACTCAAAGGCACCGTACACCCTACATTAGGGATCTTGAGCTTTTGGTAGCTTACGATAGTAGGACCCCCTATCAGCAAGTCGCGGCGCAAGATGTCGCTTCGGAAGCGAGAAAACCGCTTCGGAATAGCGAAGAGGCATGAGGACTCTAAGTCGACACTGCCCCCTCCAGTAATGCCCGCCCTACATGCGCATCCATCCAATCACTCCAGAGAATCAGCCTGTGAGTTTTCCGAAACGGGTATTATCGGGGTTTTCTTGGATTCTCGACTTCATATTCGGAATCAGGGGCATAAAAAGGCCCCGAAATGACTAAAATATGGAAGTCGAGAATCTGGATAGACGTTGCCTTCAAGGTGGTTTTCTGTCAGCAAAGGAGATTGAGGAAAACCAATATCACCAAATTAACGCCATGTTGTAGTGGAATTTCTTACAAATGCAAAATGTGCAGTTCAGTTTGGATCAATAATGGTCATAAACTCTTCACAATAGTCACTTCGTTAAAGTGCAGATTACTGACATTTTGTCAGTTTTTTTTTTTGCAATCGTACTTGGTAGTGTAAGCACCGGCCAAACTACATGCTTCCCAATTCAGATACTGCCACTTTTCGTATCGCTACCGTATATCATTTAGCGTGTCATAAGGAATGTTCAATGTCACCGATATGGCGGTGGTGTGAATTTAACAACACTATAGTCGCTTTTTTTGTCTCCTTTCTGTGTTTCATACATTGTTTTAGTCTAAGCGGCATTATGACTAAGAAACGACAACATTATATCATTTCTCGCAACGTTGTAGCAAACTTTACGCTCGATTGGTAATGGAAATGGAGTGTGTTTCGTAGTCAAGGAAAATTTTTTGCTATTCAGGAGCGTTTCTTCATGAATTTGAGACCAAAAAATTACTAATCGGGCCTAAATCTACACACACAAGCTTATTTATGGGTTCGCATACATTTTGGGTTACCTAGCAACTGCTAATATATTTTACTTCGCATTGAATGGTTCCATGGGCTTGCTTGCACTGGCAGTGAATTTTTCTTATTCAGCTGGTTTTTTCATGTTTTCTAAAATCAGGAAATAGGAGTTTTCATGTATGGTCCGCTCCCAGATTCATGTGGAGGCGGGTTGCGCTTCCCTAATTTTCAGGATAAACTTGTTAAACCTCCACGTTATAGCGTTGTATTTCGTACTCTCTCGCTAAGCTTATCCTTGAAATCAGGGAAGTCCGCAACCCGCCTCCACACTAATCTGGGAGCCGATCATAAACCAATAACATTCTTTTTTTTACTCAAAACGTTGGTGTAATAAACGCTATGGCTAAGCATTCCATTCTCGTAACTGTGTTTCCCATCGACAAAATTAGAAAAAAATTTTTAGTGAAAAACCAAACATGTATCGTGCGTCTCCCACGATTTTCCTATATGAACCATCAACGTGGCTGCATTTCGATCGTCTTAATACGTTAACTCCAGCAATTTGAAGCGTTTATTCGAATTTGATGCATTAAAATGATCGAAAGACTGCCACGTTGATGGTTATATGGGAACAATTGTGGGGGATGCACCATATTCTTTGACGAATCCAACAACGATTTGGGAAAGCCGTTTGGTGCATCGACGGACAGTGCAGATTTGGGACGCGACATATTTGACCAGACGTCCAAATATGTTTAACTTGGGAAAATAATGTCTAGCTTACTAGAATAACATGTCTAGAATTGCAGCCATTTATCGTAGATCGTTCGTTCATCTTTTTACAAAACTATTGCTGTTGTTCAGAAAAGGAAGACTTGGTCATGTACTTGCCGACCTTGACGTTCTTTCCATTCACAGTCATTTTTGTTGTCCTTAATGCTTAGGAGCGTTAATGGTCTTCCATGACTCATTTAGTTCCTTCAATGTCAGCACTTATCGTTCCCGGATGTCATGCAAAAACTCAAGGGATGACGTCTTTGGTGGCCGAGAAGTTGGGCAAGCTATTTGCTCTTTCATCGATTTATGAGTTTGGATTCTTTCTAATCAAATTTTTTACTCGTTTCCCTCATGTCAAGAATAGTTTTGTTTTTGACAAGCAAAATTTACAATCATTTGTTTTAAATATGTTATGTCTTCGCGTCATCATGACTACATTCCCTGTTATGCGTTTTCGGAATCGTGTATCGATCAACTCTTTTGTTTGTTCTAGTTCTTAAAAGTGGAATGGACTTTATCGCAAATCGTCCTTTCTTCGTTTTACCTAGTTGCTCTTCTAATATTATCTTCGGGGATTTATCATACGCCATTTTCAGCTCTATCTTTACTCATCATCGATCATGTCGATGTGCTAATAATATTTCGTTGTCTCGATTGGTTCGCTATCGATTCGTACAATATTCGTAGTGGCGAGAGATTTTGATGTCGGACTATTCATACTCGGATAACCCAGCGGGACCACGATTAGTGTCCTACGAGAGACACGAAGGCAATCTTGATTTTGATAACAGGTGAGCAGTCCCTTTTCTTGCTGTTTTTTTAGTATCAATATTTTTTTCCAATTTTTTCTCTTCTGGTTTTGCTTGAGTTCATTTTTGATTATTTCGTTTATATCCGCTAATGACAATACGCTTATCCATCTTTCCATTGCAATGAGTGTCGGCTATCTCCTCGTAGCCATCGAATCAGCAGTTATATATGACTGCTGTCTGAAAGCTGTTATTAACATGATTCCAATTTTCATCCAAGTACTGGCATGAGAATGCTTTTTTTTACAGTTTTGAAATCTCATGATAGGAATTGTTGATTAAAAGCGGCGTTCAACATTTGATAGCTTTCAATTTTTGCTTGTAACGAATATGGTGGTGCCTTTTTCAATATAACATATCTAGAGGAGGAAATTCTGAGCTTTGAAAATGTACCACATAACTTTTTTTCCTCATCATACGTCATGAAGGTATTCAAGGACTTTTTTTCCGAAAATACTTCTCCCATAGCAGCCAAGGCTGAACGACATTCATGATGACGTTCATGATTCATTATTTTTTTCTATTGCAATTCTTTGAAGGGCGGCCCAATTTCGTCATGCGGAAAGTTGTTTGACAGTTCACATTATTCTCTCGAGAGTGCATGTCTTTTCTCGCTTTTGTTCATGAATGTTTTTAAAAAGTGATCACCATTAAGATGATCTCTGATTGCATTTTACTGCTGGCTTTTTACGAAATTAGTTTTGGAAGTGCTGTTATCACCGCATAGTTTTTTCGCACTGAACCCTAAAGTATCAGATATGTCCGTCCACAGGTAAGTCCTGACTTATCTGACAGTCTTGGGTTTGATCTGACAAGATTTTCCGGTAGTTATAATGAAAAAAAAGGCTTATCCGTAAGGCGGACTCATCTGGGTCAAAAAAGCGGGCTTATCTATAAGATTTTGGGGTAAATGAACTTCGATTTTCCCATTTTACTTGGCTACTTCTGTGATGTCAACAATAGATATCTATTTACTACTTGCGCTTCATTTCACACTTCTTCTCATATTTTATAGTTCTTTGACCTGAGCATGTCCGTTCTTCTGAGAAATTTCCGTACTTTGATTGCTTTGTGCTGTAAACCCATAAGATTCGATCACATGTGTTGGGAAAGTACGGTAACTGATTCAGGGTAGGTGGGCATAGTTTATCGCATGTTAGTGTTAGAGACGCAGCGCAACATGCACGACATTCCGCGACTAACCATTCTTTTGCGTCCCTCATGTTCGAGCGAACGTTTCGACGGGTGTCTACGACCTCGTATCGACGCGAGTACGCAACTACGTACACGTACCAGAAAAGGTAAACGTTGTCTGCTAATAGAGGGTGGAATTAGAATTGAATAGATAATAGAGGTCGTGGTAGCTCTATTATCCATGTACTAGATTGTCTTTTCCGGTGAATTTTTTGTTTGGGACGTGAGTTTGGTAAGTCTTCCCTAGATGTGTAGCAGCTTTTTGGTTTGTGTGTAAATCTTTTTCGCTTCCGTTTTATCGCTGTCGAGCCATTATAAGGTGCCGTGCACAAAATGGTCCAGAATCTTGTGACAATTTTGATTATAAGTTAGGCAATTAGGCTGATAGGCTTTCTGAAGCCCCGCTCCAGGCCTTAAGCGTCTTGAAAGTCAAACTTCTTGAAATTTAGATATATTCGCCTTACGAGGTAGCACACATACGTTGTTGTAGCCGTTGGCATGGTCACCTATCTAAATCATTTTTCTCCTTTGCAGCTTTTTCTCAAGACCATTGGAGAACGTCTTGATTTGAATTTTTACCATTTTGCATTTGGCAGAATCTCCTATATATTGCGCTGTAAAGCGCAATTATGCGATGCGCAGCCATGATTGCATGGGAAATTGCTGTACCGCACATTCGCAGCAGTGAAGGTTCTTTGTACTTCTCGTTCGCACAATGTGCTCGTTAGCTGAACTCCGATTTTGCGTACGAAAATAATAGGAGATCAAGAAACGTCTACTATTGATGAATTGTATAGATTGAAGGTGGACAGAATATACTCTGAGATTGAGCGGAGGTTTTATATCGCTTTTTTGACATTGGCTTCTTACTTGTGGTTAACATCAACTTTCATCATTTATTTTGGGTTTTGCTGTATTCAAAGAAATCTCTCCTCGGCAAGACTTTGCTCAAAAACGCCCAAAAGTGTCAAATTTCTCTGATCTTTCTTCACTTTCTCTCATCTCTTTTCATACGAGAAAGTGAAGAGATATTAGAGAATTTCTGGCGCTTTTGGGCGCTTTTGAGCTTCGTTCTGATAGAGTTCGTATTTACTCCAGAACCATTGGGCTATGTTGATGGCCATGTAGACCACGTTTTCAACCTTTCGTCTCATTTTATGTTCGTCGGAAACGATTTTTGTTGACCTCTCGTGACTGATCAATGCTGAATGCACGTTTCTTTGAATTCACATGTCGCAATGCATCACATTTGAAGTGCGCTGTAAATACATCTTGTTGAAAAATCAATTCACTGACAAGTCGCCATCACTTTTACAGCACCATTTTTTACATGTGGCATAGCCAGACATACCATGTGGTGGACTATGAGGAGCTTTTTGCGATCTAAATCTTATAATTTGTTCATAAGCGATCTCAAATCTCAGATAGAACGCAAAGATATCTGGTTTTTGTACTGAATTGATTTGCTCTACCTTAGAATAGATGCAGCACGCGTAGTTTGAAAAGTTTCCGTTTTTTCTTTATATATGCTAGTCATAGTGTAATCACATCGACCTATATTGAAAATCTGGTATTGAACTGTGCAAAAAAACGTACGCTGCAACGATTCTCTCAGAGCTCGAACCTTTTTTGCTCTTTTCCATATCTAGCAAAGCCGATTATATAATTTTTTTTTCATTCAAATGTATGGTCGCTGAACGCAATCGCCTTCACTAGATTTTTTCTTATCAATCTGATTAGCTGCTCGCTGTCCTCGACCGGTTTCACAGAAACTGTCAGATTGGTAGCAAACAATCAGAAAGTGCGATCAGTTGAAATGCAGAATTTCCTGTTTTTGTACTACACATTTGTTTTTACAGACGAAAAAATGTTTTGAGGGGCAGTAGCTGGCAACGTTATGTTTAAGCATAGAGGCTTGTACTATCAGGAGGAAAGATGAGGAGAGAAGCATTGAGCTGTTATTTCATTGTCTATTCTTCTTCACTTTCAGTTTCTTTCCTCGTTTAGGTATAATTTGCAAGTTCCTAGATGGACAGTCCCGTAATCATCGTGAAAGGAAAGTTGTCAAGTACATTGTCTTGAGTATTAGCTCAAGTCTACTAGATATCTCATCATCAGCTATATTTTTTCATGTTCATGAACTTTTCAGCTATTCACTCTATGTTCATCAACAGTGCGTAACATAATATTTTCTCTTCACATTTAGGCCAAACCATAATGACCCTTACAACGCCTACAATCGTGCTCCCCTACCTGACCGTCGCACGCAACGGTCCTACTCGTTTCAGAAAAGGGAGGAGGTTTCTATGAATCAGGTACGGTGATTATTTCATTTCATTTTCTTTCATTTCATGGATATGGAACTTCTTTTTTTCCAAATTGATATGGCAGACGTGCCTCTTTTTCCATTTAGTTCAAGCATGTTCTGTTGACGTTATTAGTGCAAGTGAGCGCGGAATGATCTCTCGTCCGACCTCATTTTTGCGTCAAAGTGTGTGAAAAGACATGAAGTGGTTTTATCTGCGTTCCTTTTCTTGCCATCGAAATGGGCCCTTGACTTTAGTTTTTTTTCTTACTTCGTGAATACCCTGAGCATTTTGTGGTCCTTTTTCTTAGAGGAAAGTATGCAGTAGAAGTTTCAGATTCTTCGGCGAACTTCGAATTCTGTGGCGCCAGTCACAGCGGAAGCGATGAGCAGAACTTATCCAGTCGAACGGCGGCATGAATTTGAACGACCAACACCACCACCACATCAGGTGTCACTTGCACTTATCTCCTCCATCTTCACATTTTATACGCTTTTCCCATTTTTTCTGAACCTTTTCATCAGAATCTATGTTTTCGCTCAATGTTATGCTATATTTTTCAGATGAATGACTTCGCTTATCGTGGTATGCCTAACGATGTCCCAAGATATCATCACAATGACGAGTGAGTTCCTTCTTGACATTCAGCTGATTGATTGAAACTTTTTTTCCTTTTTTATGAAATGGTTTCTCGTATATTATTTTCGTTTTCAATTTTTTTACGTTAAATTTCCCACAACGGTTTTTCACCTTAGCGAGCTTTTTATGCGGTACAGTGCATAAGATTTAGATCGCATGAATCTTTCTTTGTGAATTATTACGACTTGCGTCAAACCTTAATTTGAGGAATATAATTTACGATCAACAAATTTGGGTTATATCAGTAGTATGAAGTTGAAAGAGGAATAGAATTCACAACTTATCTGCTTAAAGGCTTCCCGGCAAAATTTTGGTTTCCACTTTTTCACCTTTTCAGAACCTTCTTGCCATGGTGAACGCATATCTGGGCTTTTCTCCGCATGAAATTGACAAAAATGAACTTTACCGCAGCTTTACAAATGCGTATTCGCTGGAAAATGCGTGTAAGTGGGCGGGATCCGGAACGAGGAGGCGGCGTCCGGAAGGCTTCCGGAGTAGATTTTGGGCTTTCTAGACGCGCTTTTTCGCTCTAAAAATCACATTAAGATTAGTGGGGGTTCCGTTATTGCAGCGCTGTAAAAACCCAATACTCATCTTTTGCCAGTAAATGCATTGAAGAACGTATAGCCTGTGTCAACTGCACGCTCCTTTTTGCGGAGGAACTGCGCACCCGCAACACAGGTGGTGTCTTAAGTGGAGACAGCAGTCGATGAGGCCTTTTGAGTACTTAAGCCATACGCGCGCTAATGTGATGCGAAGCTCTGACGTGGCGATTGCCCGAAATTGAAAGGAAGTACGTCGTCGACACAGCCTGTGACTTTTCCTCGTGCGCATTTGGACTGAGCACGTAACTTTACTGATTTTAGGTGTAAGGAGATACAGTTTGATAATTGCACAATTGAGAGGGAAATAAAAAAACATGTAATGGGCTTGTACATCGTGTTATAACATTAGCCACCTCCTTCCCGTATATCATGCTGTAAAGCCACAATTATTGGTGTTCTGCTTTCATGTCAAATGTTTAAACTGATTAGAATGTGCATTCGCATGAACGAACCCTGTGCATTTTTCATAATGAATATCGATTACGGACATTGTCGTTAAGGTTGTCCGCGAGATTAGCTCGATTCCCACAATATTCCTATATAAACAGGATTTTTGTAGAGTAAGTTCAATCAGCATAGATCTTTTCGTTTTGTTTACACATTTTGGGATTTTTGAGGAAAGATGTACCTTTCATTTCCTTTGCTTCGGTTGGTGAAGCTAACTGCCTTCTAACAAGTTTTAGTTATATCAGTTGGCTTAGAGAGTATTTTTCCCCGTAGTAGACAGGGTTTTAACTTGATGGATAGCTGGAGAGGGATGCTTTTTGCTCAAGATTTTACTTTTTCATTCATAAGTGCTTATCTCAGATATCCTGCCCAGTCCGCATCCTTCAACAACGCAAGATGCTATGATCCCGTGCAGGAGACCGATATCCTTGGTGATGACGTTAGCGAGGCACAGTCGGACGTGTACGGACCGGGCGCATATGAACCAGGTTTGTGGGGTTCAGGATTTTCTCTTTTTTTCTCTCTTTGTTTTTTTTTGTAAATTTGAGAATGACATAAGAACTGACTGGCAAGAATTGTGCCAAGAATGTCATAGAGAATGGAAGTTTCTTCTGGTGTCAATATTGCTGAAGCAGTGTTAAAAACTATTTTCACAAGGATGTCTTGTGGAAGAGATTGTTGAATGGAAATTTGAGAACAGCGAACATGTCGAGGTTGTTGACTGGGTTTTATAGACAGCAACATTTATCTTTGAGATCCCTTGTGTATTATATATGTCAGCAAAGACACCCAAAGCATTTGATATTAGAAGGGGGAATGGGAGCAGAAAAGCTCAAGTAAGTGTGATTATCGTGGTTTCTGAAAGTTTTGTTGTCAGTCATTCATGAGATCGTTTAGGAATGTGTGAGCGTTCTACCAAACTTCAGTTTTCCTTTCGATTAATCTTCATTTCCCTCTTTCATTTATGTGGTATAATGGAATTGTATGCAAATGGTGTATGACAGGTATTTGTGATGACTGTTCCAAAGAAGGTGTCATCATTGATCCACATCTCAAGAAAGTCTTCAGGGAAACTCTTTCCATGCATGATTTTGTTCTGCTGTGTCCTATCATCTGAGAGTGAAACTTTCATTCAGTCTTTTCATCTGCAATCTTCTGTGCATTTGACTTTTCCCTAAAATTGCCATATGATCTTGTCATTGGTGACCAAAAAGGAGCTGTCGCTTGATAGCTTAACTAAGGCGTTCCATTCAGTAACCGCCAAAGAAGTCTAGGCACCAGTTTATTTGAAACTGCCTTCAACTAGCGACCATGCAGGATGACAAGTTGTAAGCTTCTAATGCCAAAACGCTTGGACGCAAAAAATGGCTATTTTGCGCTCCATATAAATTTTTCACGCGTATATGTTGTTGGCGATGCAAAAACACCCAGTAATTCCCATCTGGGCCATAAGAAGTATGATTGATAGTGTCAGTATAGATTAATGTTCGTGATTAGTATTATTAGTTTTGATTAGATTAGATGTTATCGGCTACTGATTGTTGAGTTCTTACTAATTGGCATGTTTTTTCTTTTCAGACTTCATTTGCCCATCATGATTTTGAGCACCTTTCATGTTCTTGAATCCGAGCAGACTCATTCTGTTGCTTGCGTCACTTATACTATCTTGTGACTCGGGAAAAAGTTACCCGTCAACTTTAGATATTTTTCTGGCCCCTTTTGACACGTAATTCTGCTCAAAGCCACCAAAGGTGCCACTATATCGGAAGATCAAAGAATCTCCGATGCATATGGTCGTTAGCGGTTCACACACTTCCGACTCGCATCGAGTTCGGATCAGGTCGTGCGTTAAATGGGAAAGATTAGTCTTTTGCTAATTTTACTGCAAAATATAGATTTGTGCAGTTTGCCCTTTTGTTGTAGTGTAGACCAGTAGACCAGAGGTGTACAGCATCTAAGAGTTGTTGCGGAGTGAGATGGAAGATTTTCGAGATCTAGTGGATGGCTGCCATTTTTAGCTCATCGCCATGGTCCAATAAACGTTTTGAAATGTGCTAGCAAAATTGCACTTTTATGGTCGCATGCTTCTCCAGAGACATCTCGTGTAACCGCACATAACACATCAAATTCAATGGCTTGCGTGCGAGACTTCCCACTTAACTGCATTCTATCTCTAAAACCCATAGAAAGTGGCTCGGCTAATTTTTGACTTCGGGTCTGCCTTTCATGATTCTTGCATCTTTTGTTGTGCTGAACCAGTACATTACCATTACCAATCTGTTCAAAAATGACGCAGTCGACCAAAATTGACAAAGCTACGGCGCATCGCAGGATCTCAGTTGGACGCATTCTGAATCCAAAAATTGCCTCTGATTCAGTAGGATTGGCGGTTGGAGGGCGGGGCTGCTTGGCCTGTGCACCGCTTTTGTGAGCGTACTCTCTAATCACTTTCCTATCACGAGCGTGGAAGACAGAGCTTAATCACTAGAGAGCACGATCGCGAAAGACGTGCAAAGAAAAGCGAGGCGGCTGCGCGGACGTGAGTCCCACCCACCAGCTGCCAATCCCGTTGAATTAGAGGATACATTTGGTTCGGTTCCACGCTGCGTATGATTCATAGAAACCTCCATATGCTACGCTGCTGCATAAGTTCTCCCTGATTTGAATTTTTGAATTCAGAATGTCATAATCTCTTTCAAAGTCAGCATTATTCTATGATCTTAGATTCCATGTGTTGAGCAGTTACTTGGATATCAGAGAAATAATAAGAATTGTGAAAATTTTGTTAAGAAGCAAGAACTCAAAAACTTCACAGCTTCTTCTTTTTTATACTTCTTTTTTTCACATGGTAATGTTCCTTTATGAGAACAGACAGGCATGTTAGTTAACAGTGAGATAGAGTATTTTTCGTACTTTACTTTGCAACCTGAAAGAGCCCATAGAATTTTCGGTGCCGAGAGGTTTTTTTGACCGAACAAAAATAAGTTGCTTTTTTGACTTCGCTGCAGCACATGTGTGCATGCCCATTTACACATTATGAAATTTTACACTTGACGTGAGCGTAAAAAGAATTTTTAGAAAGGAATTTGGTAAATGGGCCTGCTTACTCTTGCTTTGCTCTAGCACCTCTAACTTTGGACTCATCAATTGCCTTTATTTACATGAAGTTATTGCTTGTAGAACATTTACAGGGTGCGCCACAATTATTTGCGCGTGTATCATCAAGCGCCATACGAACATACGACCGGCTCAGCCAGCGGTCAAGCTTGATGTTGTTTTCTTGGTTCTACAACATTGTATCCTAGTTGAAAGAGGTAAAATTGCGTGTTTTGCTTTAAAAATTCATAATATTTCTCTGACTTTGTCGCGTGCTGCACGCGGGTAGAGGCCCACAAACTTGCCCAGTATGTATCTTTAGTGATCGCTTCTCTCAGGTGAAGATTTCGCCATAAAATAGATCTAATTTTTGACTTTAAGATCCCTGAGGTTCGGAATCTTAAGGAGCATTCAAAAGAAAAATTTTGACTTGCTAATAATTGCGTCAGCTTGCGTTTTTTCTGTGACGAACATTGCTTTTTGCAATTCTTACTTCTTTAAATAAAAACTAATTTGGGATCTTGATAGTGATTTTTGTAGAGTATGCTTACGGCATTCTGTGACATTAAATCCAGACCAAATTTCTCATTGCCATTGTTGTGGCATTAATTTGAATATTTTGGCGTGTATACGAAAAATTGATATTTGACAGCAAAACTAGCAAACTTTTTCGTCCTGCAATCGCGGTTGTGCGTATACTAGCTTGTTAACCCCTATTCCGCACCCAATGAAAGGACTTGACTTGTGCAGGAACATATCTTTTACAAGGTTAGGTGAGAACGTATTTCGGCCGTCTGGAGAACTTAGGCCGACAATCTTGCTAGACTAAGGAGTTTATTGAAATTTGATATGTATCAGAAAGAGAAAGAAAAGCGCTTTCTAATGATATAAATAGTGTCACATTCGAGGCGAAATCCTCTTAGAACAGCTGTTTCAAACATAAGGTAAAAAAGTTGGATATAACCTATGGAGCAGCGTAGTACATGTTGAAACATACTGTCTAACCTACCGTAAGCTGAAATTTCGAAAAGATTGGTGGAATTTGATTGTACCGTGCATCTGAATTGGAACATACAGTTCCATGTCAAAAGACGCGTGGCATCGAGCCGAATTAAGTGGTGCACATGTGGAAAGAACGTGCGCCTTTTTGATACTTTAGGGCGTGCATGGTCTCAAAGGCCAGCATTTTGAGAAGCAATTGGTCAGTGGTAAATTTGCAAATAGCCGCTCGGTGATGGGGTGCGTATGCACATCACAGCTATGTCAAGCAAGTGTTCTTTAGAATGTTAGCCCGCTTTTCACGCCCATCCACTGATTTTCATGATAGAAAAGATAACGATAAAAAGTTAGTTTTAATTCCTCAGAGCTGAAAAGCTGTTGAACCCATTTATGAATTGAATCCGAGGTTGGAGAGTGAAGTGCTTGTTTTACATCTGGTATATTCTACTGATTTTTTTTCTACTTTGCGTGCTGAGCGGGAAGCGAAGTGATTTGCCGTTTCATTAAGGAAAGGCTACCAGAAAGACCTTTTTCAAAGGTTACGTTAATAACTGTGAAACACTTTTTACAAATTTTTCGTTGTGGATTATTGCCGAGAAGCTTGGCAGTTAATGTAGAGATTTTGTAAGTTTTATTCACCCCAAGCCACTGCTCATCCTATCTGGAAAGGCCACTTTGACTTAATGTAAACGTAGTAAATCGCGAGAGAGTAAACACTAACAAGGGCAAGTGGGGCTTTAACAGAGCAAAGCAAGCTTTGCATGCTGCCTATTAAGACTCCTAGCTCTTGAATCACATAGAGTCCGGAGCTAAAATCCCGGAGTTTGTGATTTTGCCAAAAATTGGAAATTAGCTATGAATTTTACGATTCTCCCAACCTCCTCATATGTAGAGAAGACACAAGTTGATGTAAATAAAGCAGCTCATGGGTTACTCTACGACTAGCATCATGACATGTTATTCGACATTTTTTACATTGTTTTTTTTTCTCTTTTCTGAGTTGAATGAGCAATTCATTCTAATTATGGTACACATCTCTCATGAACTCGTACTCAAACTTGCGAGTCGCAAGTTGCGACTCTTCCTCTAATCCTGCGAGAAAGCTCATTTAGTGGCTAATGAGAAAACCGGCGAAGTGTTTGTTTTCTACTGGAAGTGGCAGTAGCCTCATGCCTCTTACGCAAGATGCTTTGTATATACTGCAGTGACTTAGTGACGAGATTTAGTTGCGTCTATAGTTCTTCTTTATCCATTTCTCTTTGAATAGTGAGTTCTTTTTTCTTCTGAATGAAGGGAATGAGACTAGTGCCCAAATCGGCAGTATTTGTTCTGATTTGGAAACGCCGTAACTCTGAAGCATGCTTGAATTTCTGCCTCACGGTTTACTTGTCTC